GACTTTTGTATCCGCTTGTGTGTAATTTTTTTGTCTGCGGTTGTTTTGTATGTTTCTGTAAAAGTATATGTTTTATAAATGTTCACGTGTGTGTATGTGTGTGTTTGTTTGTTTGGGGTGTGCGTGTGTGTGTTAGTTTGTTTGCGAGTGTATGTGCGTGTGTGTGTGCGTGTGTGTCGTGTATCAGCGTGTTGGTTGTCTTGAGTTACCTAGAAGATAGAATTAATTGGTGTGTATGCGGCGTGCATGAATGTGTGAGTGTATATCAGGGATTTTAATATGTAAAAATCGCTATAGATGATATCTTATCGGCAATACATTTGCTTTGGTATCGCGATACTTTTCAGACAGCAGAAAATCTCAGTCGTCTTGGAGCCTCCAGACTTTAAAATTTAGTATTATTAACAACCATATACACGTGTAAAATAAGTATTTATACTTGTGTATATAAGTACTACGTATGGGTATGGTAGTATGGTAGACTGAATAGTTCCCAATTGTGTGTGTAATATTTTGCAGGGTGTCGTTTGATAGATGAAGGTGAGTATTGTTAGAGTTTAATTGAAGAGGTGGGCTTGTCTGGCGTTAATCAACAATTGCGTGTTTTGTGCAATCAGGTGTGCGTGCATCTATACATCTGTGTGCATGTTTGCCGGTGTGTGTGCGTGCTTTCACGGTGTGCGTGTGTATTTTCCATGTACGTGTATCCGTGTTGGAGTTGGGTACGTTGATTGTGGGTGCGGCCTGTTGAGCGTAGAAAAAAAGCATAAATCAAATATGCATGATGCACTTTTCTATTTAACATTCATTTTTGCATTGAAATCATGTTAACGTGTGTACATTGTGAGAATGCAGCTCGTAGAAGACTGCACTTGTGAATATCTTTCTACAAAAACACGAGCTCTCTTTGAACAGTTTCAAGAAGCACCTATATAAACGTCTATTTATCATCAAGAAAGTTGTAAAATACACACAAGCGAAAATTCACACATACATACATACACATGCATGCACTCATAAACACACATGTTATAACAATATTCAACAAACAACAACCGCATATCACAGCACAAATTTAAGAAAAAACTTTTTAGAAAAACACATACAGACACATAACAAACATTAATCATCAACTTACCTACACACACATCTACTCACACACATCCACTCACATACACACGCACACACGCACACGCTTGAATGCTTGCGGAGTTGAAAAACAATTCGGACGATAAAGTTGATTTAAATGAATCAAAACTGTTTGATGTGCCGATGCGAATGTTCGGTTTAAGTTCTAATAAAAAAGATTATTATGTGCGTGTGTTTGCGTGTGTGTTTGCGTGTGTGTGACTGTGTGTGTGCGTGTGTGTGTGCACGCGTGTGAATATTAGTAGTTTTGGTTGTATAAAATGTATAGAAATATTCAATTGTTTAAAATCGGATGATAAATTATCGTTTAATTAAAACGTCAATTTTTATCAATAGCGATAATGTAAATATTATTTTCTGCGTGCGAGCGTTTGGCGGTCAATGCAACGTTGATGTTGTTTGTTTGTTTGTTTGTCTGTTTGTGTGTTGTATCGCTGTATCTGTCGTACCAATGTGTGATTATTTTCATTCGTTTTTTAGGACGTAAAATTTAATTTCCAATGCAATATTACATCTGTAAAACATAGCAAAAATGGTTTTTAACTAAATACAAATTTGATACAAATAACTAACACACACACTCTCTCTTATACACACACGCACACACACACGCACACACACACACGCACATACACACGCACACACACGCACACACGCTTACTGAGATGCATACTTATTTACATATATAAAACTATATCAAAGGTGGGTGATATAGATAATTTAATGTAGAAACATTATGCACTGTACGATGATATAGCATCTTTTATATGCATAACACACACACATATATACACATACACGCACGCACACACACACACGCACACACACACGTGTATATATATATATACACACACATACATATATATATATACATACATATAGGCACACACAATGTATGTATAGGTTTATAAGTGTTTGCAAGGGAGCAAGGTATCTGAGATGACGATTGGATGGCTGGTGTGTATTTATTTGAGTGTCTATTTTCTAAAATAAAAATTCATTTTAAATCATTTTGAAATAGTATTTTGCTTATTGGATATCATACAGAGGCTATTATATTTATGTCTATTGTTTATTTATTCATTATTATTGGATATTAATTAATTATTTAATTAACTAATTGATAGTGTCAATTAAACTATTATTGTTTTAACATCACTCTACCAAAAAATTCCATAAAAACAATATTGGAAAATGCAAAATACTGAAAAAATATATATATGAAAAACATTTCATTCGCAAGCATTAAAATATAAATATATAATACTAACCCTTAATGTAACATTTCAGTTAATGTGATTTCAGTTGATGTGATTAAGCCTGATGTAATCGTTACGTTAGAGTAAAAATTATGGAAACCAGATCAGAAAGGACTAGTAAAGCGTCCTTAATGTCGTCGCTTTGGTGGCTGTTGTTGCTACTTCCATGGCGAATCTATCCAGTTTACTCTTTAAAAAACATCAACGACAATAACATTTATAACATCAACAACAATGATAACGTCAGCAAAAGCAGCAACACCAACAACGTCATCATCAATTCTGGTGCTGGTATATCTCACGCTAACGATAATCAAGTGCCAGAAAACAACAAAAACATTAACAAATATGACAATAACTTTAAAGATTTATTAAATATTAACGGTATAAACAACAAAAATGTCAATAATAAAAATATCATCAACTACAAAGACAGCTTCAATAACAACAATTACAACAATAACAAGAATTACAACAATAATAACAATAACAACAACTACAACAACAGCAGCAGCAGCAACAAAAAGGACGTAAACTTGAAGTCAACAACGGATTTGCCGAAAAAATTGAAAACAAACAAACGCTATAGAAACAGCCGCAACTTTAAAAACATCATACCACTGTCATCGTCGTCAACGAACAACAAAGATGATGACATCATCAACAACAGCAACAACAACAACAACGACGACGACGACGTCATACAAAAAAATAATGACGTCATGAACCCCTCCAACAACAACAACAACAACGATTATGAAGAAGTTGATTACAATGTTAACAGCAAGCCGAATGAAAAATTGGATCCTGACAAGAACCAGAGTTAGTGCCAGTCGATTTGATACACTTCTATACCTCATTGTGCGCCCATATATATATACTCATACACACAGATACAAACATACTTGCGTACACGCACACACAAACATGTATACATGAATACAAACACGTACACAAGCATACATAAACACACACACAAACAAACATTTACATAAACATACGTACATAAATGTAGATACAACCTACATTACCTAACATACACACACACACACACACACACACACACACACACACACACACACACACACACACATACACATACAAACAAGTGATGGTCCTAGAAAGAACCATTACATTGCGATTTACATATACATGAACATTCAACTAATCATGCTATAGTAGACGTGTTAAGTTAGGTTTAAGATAGGTAAATGCTTTTAAAAAAATACTTTTTGTTTATTTATTCGATGTTTTTTCTTTGTTTATTCATTGTTGTTTATTCGTTCTTTAATTATTATTGTTCTATGTTTGTTGGTTTGTTAAAATGTTGAGCTGTATGTCCGTACGGTTTTTAATTTTTTTAGCCGCGCCAACACTGAACTAACTAATTAAAATTTAATGTTTCACGTTCATTATTCAATCTATGACGTTCATATAGAGAATTTATAGCAATAAAATATAAAGTAAATAAATAATTTGATTATTTTTAAAAATGAAAAAAAAGAATAAAGTATATAAGAATGCCAGCATGCCAGCGGATCTCATAAATTATGTATTCAATGATCAGACGGATCGAATCATGAAACATTGTTTAAAAACACAACGTACGAACTCAGCCACTCAACCAACCAACCATTCAGCCAACTGACCAACCAGCCGACTGACCAACCAACCAACCAACCAACCAACCAGTTAACTTACTAACTAACCAACCAATCAATCAATCAACTAATTCAACTAATCAACCACATCCAACTAACGACAAGTTAAAAAATGTTGTATTAAACGTATGGGAGTGTTAAACATGAACATGCTGCTGTTTATACAATTGTAAAAAGATTTATAAAACAATCTTTAAAATTTTAATTTATGTATTTAAAGTTTTCCAGACTGTTAAGTAAGAAAATCAGTACGAAATGTTTGCGAATGACAAACGAACGAACGAACAAACGAACGAACGAACGGAGTAATAAAATTCAAAATCGCCAGAGTTCTGTATTGGAAAAATATTATATATGCATGAGAATTTGCGATCCTTACTTATGCCAGTGTTTCAGTGTATTTGTATTTTTGTGCGTGAGTGTGTTTGTTCGTTTGTGTGCGTGTGTGTTTAGATTTATAAGTGCAGTTGTGTGTGTGTGTGTGTGTGTGTGAGTGTGTGTATATATATGTGTGTGTGTGTGTTGTTTGTATGAGAGTAAAAGAACAAGATACACACACATTCACGTACACACGTACACACACGCATGCATCTTCATTAACGTTAATAATCATATCATCTGGTCGACAGTTTGTCAAACTCATTGTTATTCTCTTTCTCTTTCTCTCTCTTTCTCACTTTCTCTCTCTCTCTTTCTCTCTCTTACTTTCTTTCTCTCTTTTAACTTTTTAAATGATGATTGAGTTTTTTTTATTTGTCCATTTTTGAAAAACAAAAATCTTTTTCTTTAAACAAATAAAATTGAATTTAAACTTTTAATAAACAAAAAAACATTCTCCACGTTCAGACGAAAGAAAATAAATATCCAAACCCCGAGTTGTAAATCACCATATTTATTCAAATTTAAATTCAAATAAATTAATTATTTTTTT